AGTGTATTTTGATATAAATTTATATATATATATATATATATATTAATTTTAAAATACAGTTAGAATAAAATTTCATATAGATATATAATTTTTTTTTTTAATTTTTATTATTATTTAAAAAAAATATTTAATTTAAATTACTTATTATTTTATAATAATATATATACAATATATATAGTTATTATATATATTATATATATACGTGTGTAATTTAATTATAAGTGTATTTTTATATTAATATAAGTACATATTAATATAAAAATACACTTAGTATGGCATTATATCATATATACACCTATATAGTTATTATTATTTTTTTTATTAACATTAACTTTATTTTATTTTTTGATTTTACACTAGCAGGGAGACTGCCTGTCAGCACAGACAGTCCCCCTGCAGGCAGACACATGGACACCCATTGTGACCATGTGATCGCTGTGTTAAGCGATCACATGGCCACAGGGGTCCTAATTCAGTGTGGGGAGACTGTTTGGGCTGCAGGCAGTCTCCCCACAACCGGAGCCACGCTGATCGCCGCCGGGGGAATGACGGCGATCAGGTAAGTAACGGAAACCGTTAGGACGGTTCAGGACCGTCATCGGTCGGCAAGCCAAAAATGCCGATGACTGTCCTGAACCGTCCTCGGTCGGGAAGGGGTTAATTTGACTTTAATCACACACATAAGGCTCCTGCAGTCTCTAACAGGCTATTGACAGAGCAAGAGATATGACATTAGAAATGAAGCACCCTGTGCAATACAGGAAGTTTACAAATTAGTTCTCTATTTACAGTAGGTGTGAAGGGAGGCTGTGCAAGTGACAGCCTGGGGAGGTGTGGTTAGGGCTTAACACTAACCTGTTATAGGTCACTAACACCTAAATACCCTCCACATATTTATGTCCCTCCATGTTGTGGTTTCATGGAATTCCCAGTAGTTGATTTTATATATATTTGTTTATCCTTTGGTATTCTTGCTGTGGTTTACTCTGAAATGTTGTGGCCTGACTTGGCTCTTACGTCTGCTTACAGATTATTTCATTTCACTATGTGCACCATGTTCTATCCAACCACTTTAAGGTTACTTAACTCTTTGGTTGGCGTCACCAGGTTAGTATTTAGATTCAGGCATGTTGTATCAACCTGATTCATTGACTTTGCGGCCAGGGCCGGCCTTAGGACTTTAGGCGCCCTGTGCGAAAAATCTTCACAGCGCCCCATCCCGTCATCCATGTATGATGTAATGTTTGTGTTGCCTGTGTATGTGATAGTTGTGATGACTGTGTGTGATATGTATGCTATGTGTTGGCTGTGTGTGATTATTTTAATGGTTGTATTAACAGTGTGTGATATGCGTGCATTGGTTGTATGTGATATTTGTGCTGGGTTTATTGCCTGTGTGTGATGGTTATTTAATTCAGTTAAAAACATGAATTTAGGCCTGTGTGTGAATGCAGGTGTATATTTTTGCAGAGTTATGTGCACACAGTCCCACAGTCAGATGCACACAGTTATACTTATAGATATAAAGAAATAGAGTGAACGAAAAATGTCTCCCCACAGAGCAGGGCGGGGGGGAGACACTGTACTGGCTTTAGTCATTAGAATCGGGGATAAAGCAAATATAGATTGCAACCTGTTAAGCAATGCTTAGAACTTAGGGGGGTAGAAAGAAGGGTATCCTGCTACTTAGTCAAAAAAGTCTCCAATATTATCCATCATAGAACTACTTTATTGGTACACAAAATAAAAAAATTAAATGTGCATGTGTTGTGTGGCCGAAGAGCAGAATTTACATTTCTTTAAATTCTCTGTAAAGTCACTTTTCTCCTCAGGGAAGGGTTTTTAAAGTTTGTAATTCATTTATCAGCATTAAACTTAAGAAAGCTATTGCAAGCTGTTTAAATCTGTTCAGTAGACCACTACTCCCAGAAAGCATTGCTTTGCTTCCTGAATCCGTGTATAATGTGTTATTGAACACTGCATGCTAAGAGGGACTGAGTGAAAGGGAAGTGCATTCTGTAACCAGCAGGAGTAAGTCATTTGGAAATGGGGAGGTGGGTTAGAGGAGACAGAGTTAAGGTGTAGAATTCTGCAAATTATGTAATATTATTTTTTTTGGTGGGGGGAGGGAAACCTATAGAAAATTGGCATGCACAAAAATGCACAGCTAACTAGTTGGGTAAAAAGCTGTAAAATTCATAAACATTGTGTTGGTGTGTACAATGTGGAGTACCCCTATAACCGTTAGACGTTTTTTCACAAAACACTGAATTTAGTGGAAATTGAAAATCGATTTAAAAAATTTAGCAAAAATAGCTAAACTGTAATGGAGTTTGAGATTATTTCCAAAATAGCACTTTTTGATTAAATTTGCAGTTGGGTTTACTATTCACTACAATTCTGTGTTTTGTGAGTAATCCCCACGTTCTAAAAATGACAGCCTACCATCTAGGCCAGGGATAGGCAACCTTTGGCACTTTAGATGTTGTAAACTATATCCCACATAATGCTCTTACACTCATAATGCTGGCAAAGCATCATGGGAGGTGTAGTCCAAAACATCTGGAGTGCCGAAGGTTGCCTATGCCTGGTATGAGCCTCATATACCAGCAGGTTCTTCAATGCATACAGAGAGAGTATACTGAGAAGCAAATATTCTGTTTATTATCTATATCAGGGATAGGCAACTTTCAGCACTCCAGATTTTGAGTTCTACATCTCCCGTAATGCTCTGACAGCCATAATACTAGCAAAGCATCATGGGAGATATAATCTAAAACATCTGGAGTGCCGAAGCTTGTCAACCCCTGCTCTAGGCTATATGGATGTAACTCAAGAATGGAGTATGCTTGCTACATTGGTGAGTATTTCAACAGTAAACAATATTTTACTGTATACATTGGTCGATGATAAAGTGTTGGCCGAAATGTCCTCTCGACATTTGCATTCAGTGTGGATTCTCTCTGCCTTTTGCGTTGCTGCGAACTCAGGCGTGCTTGCCAGAATTCGATTGCACAATAAATTGTTCTGGAAAGCACTTAGTCAGTTTAGTAATTATCATCACGGTCTCTATTAGAAACTTAATCTGCATACATCAAAATACAATGCATGTTTATACAATAAAGCAGGCTTGAATTAGGGACATTGTGTTTTGTTCTCCGTTAACAGCATTAAGTGATTATTTCCAAGTGCTTAAATAAAATGTTAATAACAACAAAATAACTTCATCATGTAGTAAGTAGTGAATAAGTAGTCACAATATGGAAATAATAACTTTTTGCCAGTTTTATAGCGGCCACACACCAGTTCTTCTAATAATGCATATATTTTGTTAACCTGGAATGAACCCAGAACATACACAGCTTTTCTGTCAGACCTATTGAGTGACACACACATACGCACAGCCACACAGGTACATGCACACATGTACACACACCTACATATTTTCATTTAAAATCAGGTTACAGAATATTGCAAACAGCACCTCTAGTGAGTAATCGGAACACAGTATTGCTTTACATCATCCAGTAAAATATTGGATATATAGCTCTGAGATCCAACTATAGAAACAACGAAAACATAAAAAATAATTTGGAGGGTGTGGAAAATTAGCTAAGGTCAAAATATATCAAAATACAAAGGGCACTGTTTTTGAAAAAAATGTGGCAAAAGTTATATCTTTAAGCATTATTTGCTATCAACTTGCCATCTTCCATCAGCCACCACTTGCTACAGCTGACGGGAATGGGCAACTTCTCATGGAATGAGAGATATATGTTTATGGAATATGATTGTGCATGCGTAAAATGATCTATGCACCATCCTGCAGTTTTGCAGGATCTTCGATAGATCCCTGCTTTGTACTCATACTCATAGGGCAAAAAGTAAATTCAACAGAAATTGGCGGAGTTGACTTTGAAAACCATAGAATGGTAATGATAGTGTCCTGGGTCCATGGGATCCAGACTAATTTCTGCTCCACCAAGACATCCCAGCTATAATTAATCATCAGAAATTGGTCTAGATAAATATTCTTGTTCTTGGGTAGAACATTGGCTTAAGGATAGAGTACAACGAGTTGTAACTAATGGCAAATATTCAGGCTGGACAAAAGTGGTAAGTGGTGTCCCTCAGGGTCCTGTTTTGGGACCGCTTCTATTTAACATATTTATAAATGATCTTGAAATAGGCATTGAAAGCCATGTATCATTGTTTGCAGATGATACAAAACTTTGTAAAGTAATAAAATGTGAGCAGGATATTGCTTTGCTGCAGAAGAATTTGGATAGATTGGAGAACTGGGCACTAAAATGGCAGATGAACTTTAACGTAGAGAAATGCAAAGTTATTCACTTCGGGGTTAAGAATGCACAAGCAATTTACACCCTAAATGGTAGTGAACTAGGGATAACCACACACAAGAAGGATTTGGGAATTGTTATAGACAACAAACTAGGCAGCAATATGCAATGTCAATCTGCAGTTGCTAAGGCCAGTAAGGTTTTGTCATGTATAAATAGGGGCGTAAACTCTCGGGATGAAAATATAATTTTACTCTTTATAAATCGCTGGCAAACCACACCTTGAATATGCTGTGCAATTTTGGGCACCTGTTCTAAAGAAAGATATCATGGCACTATGTAGAAAAAGTGCAGAGATGTGCTTCAAAATTGATAAAATGAATAGAGCATTTTAATTTTACCACATGACAGGAGGCTTCCTATTTTGCATATAACTCTCTTTACTAACTCCACATAGCAGTAAAGAAAAAGTGAAAACGATAACCAATCAAAATGCAATATGCTGTATAGTATTCACAGTGATGAGGCTCCTCCCCCTCTTTCTTTACTGCTCCATCAGCAGACAGGTCAGAGTTTCAGCTCTTCCTCTTCATTACTGTTTGTTTGACTAAATATATTGTACCTTTAACTTTTACTTTTATGTTATTTATATGACTATTGCATTCTACCCTATATTCTGCTCTTTATCTCTTCCCACAGGGACTCCTGTCCCTGTATTCTCTGTTTCCCCTTATCTGTGGGGCCCTTTTCTGGGTTCTTTCTTCCGCCGGCTTGGCGACCGTTTTCTCGAGCTATCCGCCGCCCAAACGGCGGATTGCTCATTCCAGGAACCCTTTGGGGTAACGCTCACCCCTTTCATCCACCCCCACCCCGCGGTCTCTCGACCGCGCACATCCCGACCGGCGCTCACGGGATTTTCGCTCCCGGCGCCGGCAGCGGCCATCTTGGATCTCGCATCTCGCGAGATCCACGGCTGCCATTTTAAGCCCCACCGAGCCACTTGCAGACTGTGCCTGGCTCCTACTTACACCCGGTCACCTTCAAACACGTCCCAGACTATCTTCTAGCAAGTGTGTTGAAGGCAAGGGTCACAAAGGTCAGTTAATACAGTCTGTGTACTAAAGCACAATAGGGTTGCAATACCCTGTGCTCTTGGGGTGCGGCCCCTAACACTTATGCTGCTTATGAGGTGTGATTATCCTCCATATACCTGGGTGCGGCCCAGTGAAAAAACCCAATAATACCCTGCTGGGGTTACAGGTACTGCTGGTACCACGTGCATTTACCTGAGTCTTTTATTATTACACCCTGCTGGGGGTTTTGGTACTGCCGGTACCACTGCACGTAATTACTATTCACCCTGCTGGGGTTGAACTGGTACTGCTGGTACCATTATTAATACAGACTGACCCCTGACCCTATCTGCGCCCTGTGCCAAGTACAAATTTGTGTGGTCAATATTTTCACCATGGATTCTTCTCAGAACACTGCTGAATTTCAAAATATGATCAGTGAGGCTATAGCGGCCTCGATGGAGAAGGCACTCTCCAGGGTTCTGACGGCCTCTGCCGAACAGAAAATCCCTGCTAAGGTCCAGCAACAGGACTATGATTCCGAGGCTTCGGAATCACACACACAAGCCGATACTCGGCCCTCTAAACGCCACTGGAAGGGCGAAAAGGGGAACGCCAACCCCGACAAGGGCAAGACCCCTATAAAAAGGCGTAAGCCAGCTCCGGCTGTCCCTTCCCCAGGACGCAATTACTCCTCAGATGAGGAGGGGAGACACTCGCCACCCATGGCGATTTTGGACTCATGGCAGGCCATGGATTCCGATTCCCAAGAGGAAAACGCCTGGGACTCGGAGGATGAGTCACGCCCTGGTTTCCTACAGGGCACCTTCCTAGACAACATTCATCTGCCGGACGACCCGGCACAAACGCAGGACGAAGGCGAAACCATCCTGGACCCCTCGGGCCAGCGATTATTCGACCCACGGAACATTCGACACCCGCGTTCGGGGGACTGGACACCCCCCGAACACCTGGCGAAGTTCATGCACAAGTGGCTACGCAAACCATTGGATAAGACGGTCCGCAACCACTTGCGTTCCGAATGTCCTCGCCCCTCACTACCAGATCAAGTGGCTCAGACCCCGGAATTCGACCAGGTCATGACCACCTTTATGTCTCGGGGTGGTCGGGATCCCCGTAAAGGGGTGGAGAAGGGTTTCCATAGTGTACAAGACAAGTTGCTGGATGCGATCGGCCCCCTCTCCCGCATCATGTACTTGGCGGATGACGCCCTCACCCGAGCTGAACAGTTTGATACCAACATGGTACGTGAATGGGCTCACGACGTAAGAGAATGGGCGCAACGCTGTTTTTGTTTTGTTGGCAATGCCAACGTGGCCCTCTCCTCTGAGAGGAGGAAAGCAGCATTACTCCGCTTAGACGGAAAGCTGGTGGATTTGGGCACCAGAGAATTAGGACCACTGGCACAGGGCAAGCTGTTCGGGGACGCTTTCCTGAAGGACCTGAACAGACACGTGAACGTGTCCACGTCGCTTAACAAAGCTCAGACCACCATGAAGCGGGTCTTCAGGAATAACCCTAACCGGGGCGTTTTTGGACGGGCTGGCCGCTACAGGGGCCGTGCAGCCAGCCGCTTTTGGCCTTCAGGCCCCCGCTCACAAAGACCTCAACCATTCTACCCGGAAGTTGGCTACAGACAGCCTTTCTCCTACACCAGGGGAGCCGACCGAGGTCGTGGATCAAGGGGCCGTGGCAGAGCACGCTTCACCCCCACAGGTAAGCCGATATGTGACTCACGTACCCCTTACTTCACAAACGGCAGGTCGTATTGCTCTCTATTTTCAGAATTGGACAACCATTTCGACGGACGCATGGATCCTGCAGACCGTACAGGGCTACGTCATAGACTTCGTGGGCCACCCGAACCAAACGGTACCTCCTTACCCCTGGACATGTTCCACGGAAGACCATCGACTCATACAAATCGAGTTGGAGGAACTCCAATCGAAAGGGGCGATAGAACCCGCTCACGATCAGGGGGGATTTTTCAGCAACATCTTTCTGGTAAAGAAGAAGACCGGGGAATTCCGTCCGGTCATAAACCTGAAAGGCCTCAACGCATTCGTCGTATACAGGCACTTCAAGATGGAGGGCATACATCTTCTGAGGGACCTCCTCCAAGACGGGGACTGGTTCACGAGACTGGACCTCAAGGACGCGTACCTCTCGGTACCCGTCCACATCGACTACCGCCGATTCCTCAGATTTCAGTGGCAAGACCGGCCTTGGCAATTCACGTGCCTTCCCTTTGGACTCAGTTCAGCCCCGTGGTGCTTCACCAAATTAATGAAGCCAGTAGTCGCACATCTTCGAGCACGAGGGATTTGTTGCATTATTTACCTGGACGACCTGCTTCTGTTCTGCTCAGACAAGTCCAGACTGACTCAACACACACAATTTACCGTAGACTTCCTGACATCACTGGGCTTCGTGGTCAATTTCCTGAAGTCAGAAATGTTTCCAGCTCAGACGGTGCAGTTTTTGGGCTTCGAAATAGACTCCAAGTCCAGCACGTTACGCCTGCCGACGACAAAGATCGCGGCCATCAAAAAAGAATTACGCAGAGTCATTCGCTGCCAATCCATTCCGCTCCGCAATCTGGCCCGGATTGTGGGACTACTATCCGCGTCCATCCAGGCCATATTCCCGGGACCCCTGCACTACAGAGCAATGCAACGCCTGAAGACCTCCTTCCTGCACCGGAACCCGTCTTACGACCAAACTATCCCGATTACGGAGGAGGTAAAGGAGGAATTCAGATGGTGGCTAGACAGCATGGAGGCATGGAACGGCCGAGCCATCTTCGGGAGTTCGCCCGACATAGTTCTGGAATCGGACGCCAGCCTTTGGGGCTGGGCGCGACGGGCGAAGGCAAGTCGACAGGAGGCGCCTGGACTTCTCAGGAAATCGACCTACACATAAACTGCCTAGAACTCCTAGCAGGCTCATTCGCGATTCGCAGCTTAGCAAAGGACAGATCGAACTGCTGCATCCTCCTCCGGATGGACAATGTCTCCGCGGTTCGATACATCAACCGCCTGGGCGGAGCTCGGTCCCGACTGTTATCCGAAATAACGAAGGAGATTTTCAACTTCTGCTTGCCCCGCAACATCTCCCTCAAGGCGGAATACCTTCCGGGGGAGACAAATCTGACAGCAGAAAAAAAGAAGATAATAGGCGCTCGCTATAGTGAACAGGCAGCAGTATATACACAAGGATTCCCAAACCTTGTAAGTGAATAGTGGAAAAAAGAAAAACGTATACCGCGCCTAATTTATATATGTGAAATATACATACATATATCTTGAATATTCCAAACGGATCGTAACCTCAAAGAGAACAGATTAAGAAACAAATGATAGTGCAATACAGTAAATATATTCTTTAGAGCAGATAGTATAAGGCTAAGTTCAATCCACTCACATATGGATGAGCTATAACAGAGCTCTGCTGTAAGAACGCCTGGACGGTACAATCCCCGTCTTTGGATTTGTAGAAGTTTCCACGAATATTTCCACAATGCAGTGAGCGTAGTAAATATGAAAGGAAAAAATAGCAGCAATATGGTGAAGTAAGTACTAGTAGTATGACCAATATTAAATAGTATTGTACTTACAATTTCTAGAGCATATATCCTGCTCTAGTATAAACAGCATGGGTGGTATAATCCCCACCAAGGATATACAGGATCCAGGAAGTAAAATAAAAGATTGGAGTGGATATAAAAGTAACTTTAAAAAGTATACTTTAATATAAACAAGCTAAATAGAAATAAAATATTATAAAACATAAAATGTAGTCCCACTTAACGCGTTTCGCCAGGTTGGCTTCTTCAGAAGTGTGGTATCATGTCTAATAAGTCCGTTTATATATCCTCCTTAAAGATTCATAAAAATTTAAATGACCCTCCAGGACGCCCTATTGTGTCAGGAATAGGATCCCTCCTTTCAAACTTATCAGAATACATCGATATAATGCTACAACCATACGTCAAACGAACAAGATCCTATTTAAAAGATACAATAGATCTTCTGAAGAAATTACAAACTATCAGTTGGGAAAAGGACTATGTATTGATTACATGTGACGTACAATCGCTGTATACGATAATCAAACATGATAAAGGATGTCAGGCTATCAGATCCATTTTAGAACAAGATGATTCTATGCTCCAAGAACAGAAAGATTTTATTATTGACGGCATAGATCTAATTTTAAAACACAATTATTTTTGGTTCAAAGATAGTTTTTATTTACAGAAAACTGGGACAGCTATGGGTACTAGGTTCGCACCCAGCTATGCCAACCTCTATATGGCTGAATGGGAGGATCGGTCTGTGTGGAGGGGACATGGCTGGGTGCAGAACCTGGTTTTTTATTCTCGTTATATAGACGACCTCCTATTCATTTGGAAAGGACCTATTAGTTCAGCTAAAGATTTTATTTCTTTTTTAAATAATAATGAAGAAGGTATAATTTTAACAGCGGATTTTAGTAGTACTATGGTTACGTATCTAGATCTTAATATATATATTGAAAATAACACAATACAAACTAAAACACATTTCAAAGAAGTAAATGTAAACAACTATATAAGTACTAAAAGTTGTCACAACAAGATATGGTTGGACAGTATACCTAAAAGTCAGATGATGCGTCTCAGAAGAAACTGCTCTGATGAAGCTGTGTTTCTAAAGCAAGCTAACATACTGAGAGAAAGTTTCATACAAAAAGGTTATGATGCTAACCATATCGATTCAACCATTAATCAAACAGTCACAATTAATAGAAATCAACTTATACATAAAACCAAAGGTTCAGAGAATCAGAAGAATCGTGACTTTACTTTACCTATTGTACTAGACTATAACAATAAAAACAGACAACTGAAAAAAATTTTAATAAAACATTGGCATCTATTAAAGGAAGATGAAATTTTAGGAAAAATTATCCCTGATAAACCAAAAGTAAT